GGGGGGGGGGGGGGGGGGGGGGGGGGTAGGGCAAGCGCGGCACATGGAGGGGCTCTGTCCCCGCGCACCGGACCTGCTGCGCGGTGCAGCGGAGAACCCGCGCCAGGGCGGCCTCATCCTCGAAGAAGAGAAGCCCCCGGCCGGAGGACAGGTAGGCGAAGGACCGCTGGACGCTGGAGGCCGACACCGGCCCGGTCTGCGGCGTCAGCAGCAGCCGCAGATACCGGTCTGCCGGGCAGCCGGGCCCAGGACCGGGTGTCAGTCACGGCCGAGAAACCACCCCACCGGCCAAGAGGGAGCCACGCACTGAACAGGCCGCGGAGGGCGTCCGCCTGGGCCGGGCCGCCGGGGGCCGCCCCGGCCGCGGCCGCGGCCATGGCCGCATCGCGCACCCCCCGCACCCAGGCCCACACATGAACCGGCAGCAGGATGCACACCGGCGGCGCGGCGCCCCCGGCCAGCAGTGGCCCGGCAAGGCGCTCGGCCGGGGCGGCGCGGCCGGCCGCCGGCCGGGCGCCATCCTCGCCGGGCTCGCTGCCGGCCGCCAGGGCCACCAGACACCGCCCGGCCAGCACCCGGGAAATGGCCCGCCCGCGCAGCGGCGGCGTCAGGTCCAGCCGCACCTGCCGGGCCAGCAGGCGCACGCGCTCGGCCTCCGACAGCCGGGCCCAATCCCCCGGGCCCGGGGCCGAGTCGTCCGCGGCGCACGAACAAAAGCGCGTCGGCAGCAGGGCCCGCATGGCGGCCGGCATCCGCGCCACCGGCAGCAGCAGGCACGGCAGCAGGTGCAGCGGGATCGTCGGCGGGGGCCGGGCCCCGGCCGCCGGCTGCTCCAGCACCCGGCTGGCGGCCCGGCTCCGGCGCACGGACGCCCCCGGCTGCAGGGCCTCCTCCAGGCCCAGCTGCCCGGTGGCCACCGCCGAGAAGGGGCTGTCGAAGTCCTCCGGCGCCTGGCCCGCCAGCCCGGCCACCAGGAAGTTCACCTGCTCCACCAGCAGGCAGGCCGCATAGGCGACGAGGACCTCCGGCTGCCCGGACCAGGGCAGGGCCAGGGCCGCCGGGGGGGCACCACCGCCGGCGTCGGGCCCCGCCCCCCCGGCCGCCGGGTCCTCCTCGTCCGACCACACGGCCGCATCGAAGGCCGACCCGCCGATGGAGGGGGCCGCGCTGCCGGCCGCCGCCGCCGCCGGCGCCACATCCACCCCCCCGGCGCTCGGCCGCGCCCCCTCCACCAGCAGCTGCATCTCCTCATCGAAGGCATCCATCTGGGCCAGGAGCTCGGCCACCGCGTCGTCGTGCTCCGGCAGGGGGGACCCCGGCGCCGGCGACCCCGGGCCCGAGCCCCGGCCGGAGGAGGGCGGCGGCCGGAGCCCCGCCCCCGGGAGCAGCGGGCTGAAGGAGGCGTCGCTCAGGTCGACCGGGTCCTCGGCCCGGGGGGCCGCCGCTCGCCGGGCCGGTGTCACCGGCTCCGTCAGGTCGATGGTGTCGACCGCTGGCTCCGCGGTGGCGGGCCGGCCCGGCGCCGGGTCGTCCAGCCGCCGGCGCACGCGCCGCAGCTCCCGGGCGCTGTCCATGCCGCTGTCGGTCCGAGGGGAGGGAGGCGAGAGAGAGAGAGAGAGAGAGAGAGAGAGAAGCGGTGTGTATATGTATGCGCAGGGGGAAGGGGGGACAGGGGGCGCGGCAAAGGAGGAGAATGGCTGCGAGGGTGGCGGTTGGCCCGTGCGCCGGAGACTCGGGCGGCTTGCACACATCGCGCAGAAGAACCCGCCGACCCGGCCCGGAGGAGATCTCGCCCGGCGCCCAATCGGCCAGGGGGGGGGGGGACGTGGGGGGCACACACAGAACCCGGCCGGGACACAGGCGGCCGCGCCGTCGAATGTAAAGGACAACGAGGGGGCTAGAGTGCCAACCCTCGCGGGTATATTGTACAAGGGGCGACAGGCGTGCGCGCGCGCGCGCACACACACCGGCCCAGCTGCTCTATGTGGTGTGTGTATGCGCGTGTGCGCGTGGGGTGGGGGCGCGCATGTGCGTCGCCGTACATGTGCGCGCGTGCAAGGGGCGTGTGTGTGCGGCTGCGCGCGGCGGCCCATTTCCGACGGAGGGCGCCATGCCCCACCGGGCCGAACAATGTACAAGGCCAGCAGCAGCAGCAGCAGCAGCAGCGGCAACAGCGGGGGAGAGCAGGGTGCCGGCCCATCGGCCACGCCTCGGCACACTAGGCCGGCGATCCGA